CAACTTTAACAGCATTCCATCTACATCTCCTAAACAAAACAAACTAGAAATAAAATTTATTCAACAACAACAGACTCGACAACAACAACAACAAACTCATCAGCATCAGTTCAGAGTGCCAAGTGATGTTTTATGTAGGAACAAAATCATAGTCATCCAACCTGAAACATCTTCTCCGTCTCCTCCATCATCTCCATTCCACTCCAAACATGCATGGAATCAGTCAATGAATGATGGTGACATTAACACCAGTAACGCATCCAACACTGTTGTCAATATGTTTTTACCTTTTGAAATCAAGGAAGAACCTCTAGATGAATACCCAGCGACAACGTCTACTACCACGACAACATCTATTACAACAGCAACATCTGGTACAACTACATCTCTAAAAACAACTTCAACATCAATTTTGGCAAAAACTTCAACAGCCACTGCTTCCCATGTGCCCACCTTTTTGACAAAAACCAGTAACGTTGAAGCAGTCTTAACCAGCAACTGCAAGCTTGTTGCCGGCGACATGCCATCAACAGTCAACACAAGATCAGTATTGTTGCCAACAAATGGGACATCTGCATCGACACAAAACAAGTACACTGTTCTGCGACGTTCACTTGAACCGAACAAACAAACAACCAGCATAAACCCAATCGTTATCCTTCCAACATCAATACCATCATTGTCATCAACACAGAAACAACAAAACAGCATCAGCAAATCAATCTCTATTGCTAGCTCATCCACATCAAAGTCCTCCAAAGTTATTTCAATAGCGCCAGCAAATCGCCCATTATCTTCCTTGATGCCTCACAACATCCTGGCAGCAACAATAATGAGGTCAGTTGGGGTGAACACTGACATTGGTTCACGCGAGTTTGACCAACTGGTTAAGAGGGGCGTGAATGTTGAAAATAACGACTCAGCTACTCAAACTGATGTTGAGGATTGTAGTTTATATTTTGCTAACAATTTTGAACAAACGTCATCATCAGTGATGTTACCGGCCACAACTTTGAACGTTGTTGAAAATAATTGTCAAAACAGCAACAACAACATTCAACACAAAAGTGAAGAAAGTGAATTGGTTGATGCCGTCCAGATATCTTTCTCAGATTGTTCGGTGAAAGTGGAAGTTGATGAAGACGAAATTGATGATGAGACTGAGGTGAAGTTTGATAGCAACAACTCACAGCACAGAGACAGAATTGAAAATGTTAGCAACAATAGCCACACAAATGTTATCAACATCTTTCCCGGTGCAATCCACAAAAATTCCAATGCCATACACCGGCACAACAACAGCAGCAATAATATTGATAACAATAACAACAATAATACCAACACTTTCACGCATAACTGTGAGATGGTAAATATTGATGGGAATGAAACAGAGCAAGTTGACGAACTCGAGGGTGAGGATGAAAATGATCCCCCTTTATTGGAGGCTGGAAACTTCAGCTCTTCAGAGGCAAGCAGTTTAGTGCTGATGGCAAGTTGGGCCATAAGTAAGAGTGCAAATGGGCATGCAACTATCGATGATTGTGACAGCAGCTTTCAGCGTGACAGTGGCTCGATGCTGGAGGATGCCGATGGACATCATCAGCAAACACATTCTGACAAGAACGACCTCTGCGATGATGATTATGAACTAGTTGGAGTGATGTGGAGGATGAAAAATGTGAACAGTGACGACAGTGACGTGTCGGATAGTTCAAATGATAACGTAGCCGATGATTGCCTGAATGATGTCGACAACATTTCGCAGCATCGGCAACAAGTCTGCTCAGTTTGCGAAGTTCCTGACGACAACAGCGAAAGCAGCAGCAACAGACCCATGATAAGGTGCCAGGGCCCATGCAATGGTTCCTACCATCTGACTTGCGCTGGTGTGGTCAATGCTGATGATGAGTTGGCCTTCAGATGTCATCAATGTGATACAGGTCTATTTTTCGTTCATTTATATTTCTTCAACATTTTTTTTCATTTTGTTTTTTTATCTCTTCACTCATTTTGATTGTTCCTCCATACAAATACGATTGTCCATCTAATCTGTTACTGAACTACCAAACAGGTTGTCACACGTGCTTTCTATGCAAACGGTCAACGAAAGATACCGTCCAATGCACATATACCAACAACAACAACAAGTTCAAGTACAATTGCAAAAAGTTTTATCATGTTGACTGCCTCTCCAAATTTTCAAATTCAACAACGAATGCTTCCAACCTCATCTGCCCTCTGCACACTTGCCTCACATGCTCAGGCAGACACAAGAAGGCCAACAAAGGCGAAATGTACCAGTGTATAAAGTGCCCGAGAGCTTATCACGTCAATCAGTTCTGCCTGCCCGCCTCCTGCCAAGTTCTGAGCAGTTATGACTCTGCGATCGTGTGTGATGCCCACGTGAACAGTTATGCCGGTGACCATATCAAAGCCAGTGCTCATTGGTGCTTCCTTTGTTTCAAAGGTGGGTGGGTTGAATCAATTATTTGTTGAATTGCTGATTGGCTGATTGATTAGTTAGTTGATTGGTTATTTGATTGATTGATTCGTTGATGGTTTGGCTAGTTAGTTGATTGTTTGGTTAGGTGATGAATGGCTGGTTAAATGTTATGGTGAATTGTTGCGAGAAGATGTTATATGTGGCTTCAATATGATTATAATTTATTTTTAAGCAAACATAAACTTGTGTTGTTAAGTCAAATTCATATCTGTGCTGCCAGTTTCGTAGAAATGATGCCGCTGATCAAAATAATTTGAATTCAACATTAATATAAACTAATAAGGAGATGAGTACAGCAGCAAATCACCTGCCAATCAATCTTTGAGCCGCACCTCCTCGAAAGTTACCTCAAAGTTCAACAAAAACGGCAAACTTCGGCAAACGATGGGTTAGCATTTTAATGTCCACTCTTGAAGTTTATTCTCTGTATTAAATTAATGAGAATTTGTTACACCTGCTTTTATTCATGAACTGACTGGTCGGCAAAATAACAACTTATTGATTGCTCCCTGCTTGGGCACATGTGTCTGTTCAGTTGTTTTTTGCTTGTATGTTTGTCCGTTCGTTCGTTCATTTGTTCGTTGGCTGGTTGAACTGTTTGCATGGAATGTGACAAATTTTTTTCTGTATAATTCAGTATAAAATATTACTTTGCTTTAACTATATATTACGTTATCAACAAAAATATTGATGCCTTTAAATTGTAATAAAACATAAATAGCTGAATATTGAAACATTGAAACATAACTTGATGCATGCATGCACTCTGTATATTTGATGCTTAACAATATTCATTTATCTATTGCATGTGCACGTGTTGTTAAAGAGATGATACTGATGTGATGTGTCGCTTTTAAAATAAGTGACTAAAAATGATAATGGTAAAGAAAGTGATGATGTTAATGATTATTTCACCAAACCTATTTATTATTTCCAGGTGAGTCTCTGGTTACCTGTAGTACCTGCCCGATTTCCTTCCATCCGTCGTGCGTCAGACTGTCACCTGTGGTTGGTGAAATCAGGTGTAGAGATTGTGTTAGAGGAGGGAAAGGTGGTGGTTGTAGCGGGGGTGGCGATGAGAGCGTGAGGGGAAGTGGAGGAGATGTGCATTATGGGGACGTCGTCTGGTGCAAGATCGGCCCATTCAGGTTTGTTTGTGTGCACTTTTTCTCTTTCTTTTGGGATTTTTAAATGTTTTTGTTGAAGTTAATTTTGCATCGTCGTCTTCATCATCGTCGTCTTCATCGTCATCTTCGTCTTCATCATCTTTATAATTTTGTTTACTTGCTATGGTAGCTGCCATTAACTTCGCCATGCATGGTTTTGTTTGTGTTGTTGCAAAATTTATCATATTGACCAACCAGCAGAAAATATTTACTAAGTTATAAATAATTACTATACAATTTATACTAAATTAATAGATACCACGTTATTATAAGAGAATTAAATAAAATTATTTTTTAATAAATATCGTAAAATTATTAATAAACAATGACTCGTGTGCAACATCATTTCCACGTGACTCGCACTTGCAGATGGTGGCCTTCCGAGGTCATTAACCCTGGCCTGAACGTCGACGACGGGAAGATTTCCGACAAGAACATGGAAGTTTTTGAGAGCATTTTCAACAGGAGGTCGGAGCAGAGGCCGCAAGATGTTCTCGTTAGGCTGTATGGCTGCAATCTCATCTATCGACTCCACAGACTCAGGTAGCCGAGTTCAATTTTTTGCTTTGGTCGATTTGTTGAGATGATATTACTGAATGTTATTATTATTGTTATTATTGTTGTTGTTGTTGTATTATTAATTTAAATAGGATTTGGTTAGTTAATTTGATTTTTCAGTGAAGACTGCAATGAGTGTCCATTTGTGTTTGCTTGCTTTCTGAATGCTTTGATCAAAAAGTTTTTTCTGGTCTGGTCAAAGTTATTCAGCTTCTAAATAATGAAAAAATATAGTTATATAATTTTATTACACTTCATTAATAAGTACATAAATTTGTAATTGAACGATGTCTAAATTGAAATGATTGAACGGTTGACTGAATGCCTGCCTGCCTGCCTGCCAACAGATTGCTGCCATTTCGTGAGGGTGACTATCTGAGTCGGCAGGTGAGCCACTGGAAGGTGCACGACCACTTCACTGCCGCCCTGGAAGAAGCCTCCATGCAGCTGGCCAAGAGGATGGGGGACAAGGAAAAAGAGTTCCAACTCGATCAGAAACTCGCCAACAAGCCTGACTACTACAAGCATATCAGGGTTGGAAAATTATTTTACATTCTTGAATTTCTTTCCAACTCACTGTTGTGTTCATTTTGAGAGAGCATTGATAATGACACTTTTTCAAATTTATGAAATATCAATATTTGAGCTAAGCATTCAATTATTTAGTTATTTAATTTTAGTTCAATTAGTTTAGTTTATTCAATTATCGATCATTAATTTTATTTGCCACCAGAGCAATGTTCCCATTGGGAATGTTGAAATTTTGAAAGGTGCTCCATTCGAAAACCCTGTCTGTCACTGTACCATCGGTAACAACGGAAGCAGCAGCAGCAGTAACGACAACAACTTCACAGATAGTCAGCGATGTTGTGGCTTGAATTCAGACTGCATCAACAGGACGATGATGTTTGAGTGTCATCCTCTTGTTTGTATTGGTATGCACTTCAAATCTCGTTATTATTTTTACATTTTTCAAATGGTTCTTTTCATGTTCATGCATAAGTTTTGTATTCTATAGGCACTTAGTGACAGACGCACACATTTTTACATATAATTGTGTTATGTAATATTGATTTATTTATCATATTTTTTACCATTTTCGTATGGCATGACAGGCAAAGACAGATGCATGAACCAGTGTTTCACGAAACGTTTGGATGCAGAAACAAAAATAATGAAAACCGAAGAAAAGGGCTGGGCTCTGTTCAGCAAGTCAGAAATTTTAAAGGTGAGTCTCTATGTTTCTGTCGGAGCTAACTTGAGCAACAACTCCTTTTTAAAACAGTTTGGGCTGAAATGAAATGAATGTAACTTTGATTTCACATCAGGGTCAGTTCATAGGCGAGTACGTTGGAGACCTGATTGATACAGATGAGAGCAAGAAGAGGTTGGAAGATGCCCAGTTGAAGGGGTGCACGAATTTTTACATGCTCACCCTGGATAGGAACAGGTTATTTGTCCTCCAATTCCACCTATCTCGCCTTTTTATATTTCTCTCTTTTTTTGATTGTTTTATTTTGTGCTCTAACATTTGAATGACGCTCATTGTGAACACATTTTTGTTCATCTCTTATATTCGTTTTGTTTCATTTTATGGCAAATCATTCTTTTGATATTTAATGTTTAACAAAAAATCTTTCAACTCGAACGTTCTTGACAATTGGTTAAAAATTTTCATTCTCCTGCAGGATCATAGATGCAGGTCCAAAGGGCAACCACACGAGATTCATGAATCACAGTTGTGAACCGAACTGTGAGACGCAAAAATGGACAGTCAACGGTGATGTCAGGATTGGACTGTTTGCCCTACAGGACATAGCAGCAGGTTGGTTCGTTGGTTGATTGGTTGGCCCGAGTGGATGGTTAGGTGCAAACGGACTGTTTAGTTCATTTTATTTTAATTAATCAATTTGTTGGTTTTGGTTGATTAAATAATTGATTGATTAGATGATTAATTTATTAAATGATATAAAAATGAATTATGGATTGATTGATTGGTCTATTGAATGGCATCTAAATGATTCATCATTTATTGGTCCTTCACCAGGCACAGAGCTGACATTCAACTACAACTTCGACTGTTATGGAACAGGCATCACGAAGTGCAAGTGTGGCTCGTCCATATGCAGCGGCTACCTCGGCGTCAAACCCAAGGTACTCCACTCATTCTTCATTCATTAATCTGTCATGCTGCTTACATTAAGCTTATTCTTCAGCAAAATTGCTGGAGCAATTACACGTTGTTATTTTATTATATTCATCAATCACCCACCAGACAGCTGCAGCTTGGCAGGTGGAGAAGCGATCGCTGGAGACAAAGATGAGGAGGTTGCAAGCGAAAAGCGTTCAAAACACTAACAAACCAGTCAAGAAACCGAACAAAAGTTTAGCTAATGGGCCATACAGTGAGCAAAATGAAGCATCGACTAGCAGACGAAGTAAAAAACAGATCAACAACAACGCAACTACAGCACGCAATGAACGATCAAATATCGACGAAAGTACCTCTGCCAACCACAAAAACAAAGAAGGCAAGAAAAGAAAACACCTGACATGTTCAAACGAAAATAGAAAAAAAATTAAAATGAATTAAATTCTGTCATCTTCTGCTAGTGCGTTATAAATTGGATCATTGCGTGTTTTGTATTCGCTACTTTTGCACCTCACTCAAACCTGATGACATTGAACCGGGCGACGCGCTATTACGTTTTATTGTGATTCCACCTGTTATATTCTCACTGGCATCTTTTCATATTGCTTTCTTATATTGTTCGTGCCTGTATATATGTACTTATGTATATGTTGTCCTCTTTTGTGTTCATCATGTCATATTTTTATGGACTACGTATGTTTTTGGTGAAATTTTCATATTTTTTGAATGAAATATTACGTTGCAAAAGTTGTTTTTGAAACATTCCATTAAAATAATTTCGTCAGCATGCAACACAATAACTGGTCCGAACAAATATTTGCTGGCGTTTCGACTCGGTTGGGCGATTACTGCTGCGTTTTTTTTAAATATCGTTAAAAAACAACCAGTACTAATTATGAAAGATTAATGTATTTAAGAAGTCCCACACTTAAGTAACGCTGCCATCCTTCTCCATGCAGCTAATAAGATTTGTAATTGTAACTGCTTTGCGCAATGTTCTTCAATCAATTAGTATTTATATAGCACAGTTTCTAAAAATACAACTATGCCCGAGTTCTTCCCCGAGTAGGTACATACGCGTACCTGCCTATACATACACTATACATACGCCAGATCATAAGCACCGCCTACACGTAGATGCCGAAACTTAATGCGTTTCAATCAGTTTAATAGAGCTAAGGTTTGCAGCGACCAAGGCTTGGGCAATTTTAATTCTCGAGACAGTCAAACCAGAGACGAAATAAATTAATAAACGGTTTGTTTTTTGGTTTGCATGTCAAATGGTTTGATTCAAAACCATGCAGCTAAAATTGTCGATGGTGACGCTAAGCTACAAAAAGTCTCGTTGATGTTTAAAGTTTTAGTTTGGCGGAAAGATTGATAGATTTGGGGTTATAATTTAAGACATTTTTCAAATCTTTTGGTGCTCATATTATTGAATCTCCAGTTTTTTGATGTTAGTTGGGGTTCGGAATATAATTTGACTCATAATTAGGTTCAGCGACTGGTTTTAGCTTTTACTTTGGCCCGGTTGGACTATTATAATTCCTTGATGTATTTTGTTAAATTGGAAGTGCTAAAATATATTCAGTTGGTGTAAAAATTCTGGCGCTAGGTTAATATGTGGACTGAAAAAGTTTGACCATATTTCCGATAGTCTGAAGTTTCTTCATTGGTTTCCAATAAAGCAGAGAATTTTATTTAAATTTGACCTTCAAATGTGTTAATTATCTCCGTCCTGTCTATTTGTAGCCTGCTTAGTGCTTGTCGACTTGTTGGCTTAATGACGTATAGGCAGTCTCGGGTCTCCCACTGAAGGACTGTTGCTTGTACCAAAGACGAGAACGTCGTCTGGACTGGAGTTAAAAGTATTTGTTGTCGCCGCCCATTTTGTGTGTAACTCTTTACCATTCAATTTTCGCTCTGAAGTCTTATTGTTTTTTTTAACATTATATAATTGCAATATTATTACAATATATCACCGGCTTGCACAATACTTGTTGTATCATGGTGACAGTATTGTATCAATTGTATTATTGTGTGAATTGTTAACTAGTTCTTTGTATAAAATGTAAATTATTCTCCGAGAACTGTCTGGAAGTGAATTGAATGAATAAATAAATAGCTAAATGTACCAGATAATTTGTACAAACACTCAAAAACATATTTCAATTTGAAAGCCAAATGAGCAGGCATCATTATCAACATTTTGCACCACACCACAATTTTTATTATCATCATCATCATCATTCAACACCGTCACCATCATTAATCTACACCACCACCACCATCATCATTCTATACTTACATGCACGTTGTCAACAGAGATGGGCAGTAATGTAATTCAAGTAATGAAATAACGTAATTCAAATTAAAATTGTAATTTGTATCGAAATTACTTTTTAAGTAATTGTTAAGTTGTAATTTAGTAATTTCATCTTTCATGTAATTTGGCAATTTCAAAGTAATTTCAAATTACATTTTGACTAAAAAATATAGTTTACATGTGAGTGGACAGATAATACTTACACAAACTATTATTATTATTATTATTGAAAATTTTTTTTTCTTTAAAATTCTAAAAAAATTTTTAAATTCTAAAAATTTATTCGATTAAAAATTTCATTTGCTACTTTGAAGTTTTATAGTCATATAGCTACATCAAGTTTGACGCTTCTTTCTTTCTTTCTTTCTTCCTTTCTTTCTTCAGTCGTTCATTAAATGATTGAACAAATTGTTGATCGAAAGAAAGTAAATTAATAAAAGAATATGAAAATGACATCAAAGAATATGCAAAATCAAAAGTAGTGGTGAATCGTGGTCTCCTAAATAATATCTATTATTTAGGAGTCTATGGGTGAATGGTGATAGAAAGAAAGTAACTTAATAAATGAATATAAAAATGACATCAAAGAATATCAGCGCAAAGAAAAATCAATGTTTAAATAACTTCAAAGAAAATTTGTTTCTTCATTTATTCAAAACTAGTTTTATGTAATTTAATTTCATGTAATTTGAAATTAGTAATTTGTAATTAGTAATTTGGCTCTTTTATTAAATGTAATTTGTAATTGGTATCGAAATTACAATATAGTGTGTAATTTGCCCATCTATGATTGTCAATTTATCGACCAGTTTGTTAATCAAGAGTGTCAATCATTTTAATGATCAGCTTGATGATGATGATGATGATGTGGTTGTTACTGCGTTCATGCTATGCTTGTTATTGACGTTGCACTTGATAAAGTCCAAGGTTAGGTAGTTGTTTTGGTTGTAGTTGTTTTAGTTGTAGTTATTTTGGTTGCCGCTGTTTTGGTTGTTGTTGTAGTTTGTGTGGTTTTGGTTGCTGCTGTTTTGGCTGTGGTTGCTGCTGCAGATTAAGCTGCTGTTGTCGTGGTTGAAGCGGTTGCTGATGTTCTTGTTGAGGCAGCTGCTGATGTTGTTGTTGCTGGAATTGTTGGAGGGAGTGCTCCTGATGTTGTTGCCGTTGTTGCTGATAGGAATGCTGTCGCTGGGAGTGTTGCTGATGTTGTTGTTGGTATTGTTGGTAGGAATGTTGCTGATTCTGTTGTTGTTGGTATTGTTGGTAGGAATGTTGCTGATTCTGTTGTTGTTGAAAATATTGTTGCTGGAAATGTTGTTGATGTTGTCTCTGTTGTTGGAGATGTTGCTGATGTTGTTGCTGATGTAGATATTGTTGCTGCTGATGTTGACGTTGTTGCTGTGAGAGTTGTTGCTGATGTTGTTGTTGGTGTTGCTGTTGATTCTGTTGTTGCTGATCATCATCTGTTGAGATCTTCATCGCTTGAACGCTGGAAAGCATCACCTCATCTTTATCATCCTCCTCATCATCATCACCATTACGTTCATCATTCAGATGAGTAGCTCCACCACCTTCTTCGTCATTTTCAACATCATTTTCATCTTCGTCTTCATCAAAAATTTGAACAGGTGAAGAAGATGACAACGACTTCAAGTTGAAGAAGTGGGTCTGGAATGAATTTTGGAGAATTTTTCAAACAGATGAGTCAACCACGAACGTCAGTGTTAAAAATTTCTTGCTGAGCAACAGTACTGCAGCACATGCAAGTGTCCACACCATTAATTATGTACAACACAACAATGACAATGATTAATATATTACATATCCGTACTCTGCTTCTTTATAAAGATTAACTCACACGTCATCAAAATAATTAAACCAAATAATTTGACACGCAAAACACTAACAAGTCTCTTCAGTTATGTTAATTTTATAGGTGAAATGTAACGTAAGCGCGTGTTACACGTGTCAAATGAATAATTGGTAACGTTATCCGGTCGGTATCAATGTTTCAATCGTGTCTTTTTCAACTTTTTCAATTCTTTTTCATAGTCAACAAAGATTATCTCATCAACGACATCCTTAAGAACAATCACACCAAATACATCGCCAACAAAAACCTCATCACCCCTGAGTAAGAACAATCACACCAAATACATCGCCAACAAAAACCTCATCACCCCTGAGTAAGAACAATCCCACCAAATACATCGCCAACAAAAACTTCATCATCCCTGAGTGCATACGTAAGACGTCAAAAGATGGCATCATCTTCATTTAACATCACCACTAAAAAGTAGAAACGCAACGAGCAACAACCTCGAGGACTTGAGACGGTCGCAGGATTGGCTCGTGGAACTTGCAGCATGCGTTGTAAATCAGGCTCAACGCGTTCATACATGCTGTCCATTGATTGTCAGGTAATTTTTTTATATTGCCAGCAACACGCGAAGTTGAAAGCAAAATGTAAAAAACTTCAAAGGTAAAAAAAATAACTGAAAATATTCTATAAATTTCACAATTTAAAGAAAGCATAAGAAACAATAAGCACACAATAAGCAAAACAACTACAACAACACAAAACAACAACACTCAACCCCACCAACCTCTCCTTGACAGCTGCCCGGCTACGTTATGTTGCAACTTGAACGGATCCTCGATGGCGATGACGTCATCAGTCCATCCCTTCTCCCTCTTGCTCATGTGACCTGTCTCTCTGATCGACACCACAGACTTGTTGAAGTCGAATTCGGACGAGTAGAAGGTCAACAACCTCAACCAGAGGTCACCGACCTCCATCTTGTTTCCCATGTAGCCATCCCACTCCGTCTGTTATTCGATCACAAGTAGAATGAAAATAATTATAACTAACAACCATTAGCAACATGCAGCTAATAAAAAAGATAACAATAATAATAATAACAATAAAAATAACAATAATATCGTCACACAACATGATCACCATTTGCAATTGAATTTAATAATGAAGAATTGGTCACATGGACAAACAAAAAAAAAAGTGTCATTTAAAATGGCGGCCAGGTTTAGGAGCCCAACATAGCTGTGGTGTGGCAAGCAGCCGTCTAACCCGACCAAAGCGATCTTTTTATTTTATAAAAAATCAGACACCGTTGGAGCATGTAAAACGTCTTTATGGAAAAAATAAAAAATTAAAAAAGAAAAGTGTTGAGGAATAAAAATGATAAAAATAATAAAAGTTACTGAGGTTAATGTTTTATATGGAGAAACAACTAAGAGGAAAAACTGATGAATGAATAATTAGTTAAATAATTAATTAATTATTCAATTGAGAAAATCCATTAATTAAATAATTAACAATAATATGTAACAAAATGACATGCCATGAAATGGTTGAGATTTTGGGATGTCTTGGAAATTGGAACAAAAAATTCATTTAGATCGATTAACTGGATTGGTGGTTTTGTTTGCGTTGACGAAGGTTGTGGGTAAGGATTGAATGGTGGCATAATTATCATCTGTGCTCGTTATTCCGCTTTTGTTGACTGGCAATCAATCACCCACTCACTCACTCACTCACTCACTCCTTCACTTACTCACTCACCCACTTACTCACTCACTCCTTCACTTACTCACTTACTCACTCACTTACTCCTTCACTCACTCACTCACTCACTCACTCACTCACTCACTCACTCACTCACTCACTCACTCACTCACTCACACACTCACTCACACACTCACTCACTCACATGTTCTTCCACTTACTATTTTACTGATTCATTCACTCACTCACAAACACTCACACACCCACTCACTCATTCACTCACATGTTCTTCCACTTACTATTTTAATGATTCATTCACTCACTAACTCACTCACTCTCACTCACCTTGACATCATCAACATTATGGAAGAACCACACATCACATCCCATCAGCGTTTCCTTCTTCTCAAATCTTTTAAACTGTTTATTATCGTCAACATGATCATTACCAACAATGATCAATACTATTAGTGTATGCGTGTGTGTGTGTGTGTTGTGTGTGTGTGTGAACAATATATGTATATACATATATATAAAAATATATATATATAATATACCGTTAAATATGTATATTACGTGATGATGTATATATATCAATCAATCAATCTTCGTTTTGCGTCAAGAGACCCGGTGTATGATGTATATAGTGTAATGTAAAATACAATGAGGACCTTTTGCAACGGAGGAAGAACTGGTGGTTGGACGCGTTGTAGGAAGTGGATGAGCATGAGTAAGATGGCGTAGCTGGAGAGGTATCGATCACCACCATCACCATCATCTACTGCGGATGAAATCAATCTACTCATCTGCAGCGATGACGATGAAGATGTCACTGATAATGGTCATACATGAGATAATGATTTTTATGATGTTAATCAATCAATTAGTGAAATCCAACCATCATCATTTTAGAGTATTTACAAACAACAAAGCATGATGTGATAATCACGATTCTGCATGCAGCCACATCACCATCTCACTCGACCAGCCATCACCATCAACCTCACCACTCAACCAGTTGTCGCCATCAACATCATCATCATCACCACCTCATCAGCAACCACAACAACCTTCATCAACTTCTTGAAAGCAAACCCGAGCGTTCGAGCTCGTTTATCAATTTGTGAGTAGGTGAGTAACAAGTGAGAGTTTCGTTCTGCCTGTCTCATTTCATGTCAGTTGTTGTTGTTATTGTTGTCATGTGATGTTGTTGTTTTTGCGATGTTTATGTTTTTTTGTCTGTTATTACCCTTAGCTGTTGTTTGTTTTGTTCTTTATGTCAGCTGTTGATGACGTCATGATTGTTTCATCATAACTTTTTTAAAAACAACATGCTGACAACAACAATGTGATGACAACATTACAGGGCGGCGTGATGGCCTAGTGGTTAAGGTCGCCTGGTGCTGTTTCGCAGTAACCGGGTTTGAATATGACAAAAAGATCTCCGCCTATCACATGCTTCTTGTGTAGTGCGTCATTTAACATGTATTCATATAAGACGTTTGTGCGCTTTGTTGAATCCTCTGCACTTTGGAAGAGTGTGATGACCGTTAACCTTTTTGACCTTTTTAACCTTTAATAGGAACATACAAGAACATTATAAAACGACAACATCCCGACGACAACATCATGAACGGCATTACAACAACAACATTGAGATTGAGACGTCGATGTTAAAACTAGCCATCAGATTGTAGAGGGAGAGATTGCACTCGAGTAACGAGTGGCCCTTCTTGTACTTCATGTTGGTGTGTGGCAGGCAGTTGACGGTGTTCGCGTGGACCTGCACAAAGTTGATGTGCTTCTTCAGTTCCGCCGATATCATCTCGATGTTTCTTTCATCGGGCCCCTGCACATTAATGTCATTACGTCATTACAACAGCATCATTCTGACGTCAGAGTGACGACACCATCACAACATTGTAGCAACAACAACAACATTATATATATATAACCATGAGACAAGTGACAATTCAACATAAATATTTAATAGCTGTATGATAATTTGTTTAGAGAATGAGAATTTTTTTCAAGATGAATAAGTTCATAAATTTTCAACAAATCTATAATATATTTAAAATAACAATTGGCAGCAATCAGGAATTGAATTTAACACTGTTTGGGCAACTTACGTATCTTGACTCGAATGATTTTTTTGGCATTTTATTACCCTGAAAAGTAAAATCTTTAAATAATATGTTATTAATCAATAAATAAATAAAGTCAGTTTTGCTTGAAATAATTGAAATTATTTCAATACATCAATTAAATTACGTACTTACACACACACCTATAAATATGTAAAATATATTAGCAAGATATGTATGTGTGTGTGTGTGTCTGTGTGTGTGTGTGTGTGTGTGTGTGCGTGCGTGTGTATGTGCGTGCGTGTGTGTCTGTGTGTGTGTTTTTTTTAAGAAGCAAACTGTCAAAAAATGCAAAGAAAATCAGATAAATGAAAATTGAATGTTTCACAGTACATGAGGAGAAGAGATGTGTGTGTATATGTGTGTGCGTGTGTAATATAAGTATGTGTGTAATTATTTGTATATATAACATACATTTTACAGTTGAAAAAAAAAATTCTTGCATTTTTGAATTTAAAAGTCAGAGAGAGGTCGAGATCACACTGGTGTGTGCCAAAGCCATTGGCTGATGAACCAAACTTACTGAGGACTGGAGTGACTACATCAAATAGATGAATGATGAATTTAATTAATTTAGAAATTTTTATTTTACTGTTAACAGCAATATAATAAACGTGGTTCATTTATTAATTTTGTTTTATTGATCATTTATTAAATTATTTTATTGTTTAATAATTAATTTATTAATTTAAAACATCTTACCCCTGTCATACTTTCTTTTCAAAATTTTCTCAAGTTCTGTACAGCATTCGTCTCTCTCTTTGATGTTTCTATCAGCTTGTTGGCAGTTTGCTAAAATAAAATTTTGTAATAAAAAACAGGTACAGAAGTGTTGTTCAAACGTCAGCTTCAATCCTAACTAACGCAACATACATATTCAGATAATTAGAAGCGTTTTGAATTATGGTTTTTCTTAAATGTCTGTTTATGTAATAAAAATAAATTTCGCGTCAAAATGTCTGTATTGAGACTTTTTCATACAAATTTATGAGGAAAATAACTAAAAGAAAAAAGAAAGCAAACAAAACTTTTCATTACTTACTAAGAATATCCTCCAGCAACTTGTTGAGAAATTCTACGTGGTACTTATCCAATTTCAAAGAATGAGATAGAGTAGGAAAAATAATGCGTGGACTCATTTTCTCTTCAAGAAAAAAACAGATCTTGAAAACAGTGATAATGCATATATATATATATACACTCCTAATTTTAAACATTAATTGAGTTTAATTCCATTCAATGATTCCCACTTCTACAAACTGTTGGAGATGATGCATGAATATATATGTTGGAAAGAGACCATATTTTATACAGTATTGTATGAAATCTACAGAATTGTTGGCATTAATCAATTTCATTTTCAATTTTCCTTATTAGAATTTTTTGAAAATCGTTCAATTTATTGAAAATAGAATTATCCAAGTTCATCATGAAAATTTAATCAAACTGTTGTTACCAAAATTCATCTTGCAGATAAAGCCTTATTTCGATTTTTCATAAATCATCTTCAGTGCAGGTTGGTTTTTATATAGTTTCTTTAAACAGAACAAAGTTCATTAACAAAGTTCTTTGGTAGAGTTAATAGTTGGTGTCTTGTTCTTCATCCTTGTTGTTGTCATTTCTATGTTCTTCGTTTTTATTGAAGTTGGTAATCAGGCGTCGAGTTGATAGTGATAAATTGATTAATGCCAACAATTCGGTAAAATTCATACAATATTGTATATATATATATATATTGGTAATAGACCATAATTTATATTTCCCTATATATACAACAAGGAGCACTGACGATGATTCATTCGGAATCGAAATATGGCCTTATTTGCAGCATGAATTAGAAAAATAAGTTTATTTTGAATTTTAATAAACTAAACGTTCACCAAAAAACTTTAGTGAGAAAAATCGAAAAAACGAACTACAAACATATTAACGCCAAACATTCGGTAGAATTTATAGAATATTGTAAATATATATATATATATATATATATATATATATATATATATATACAAATGATGATTGTGGGTGAATTTGATTGAGTGAATCAAGAATGTATTTTGCCTCACATCAAAACTTTCTAAAGTTTCACTAAATTCTAAAAGCTGAAAACTAAGGTTGAAATCTTACTCTTACTAACATCTAACAAACTAACTCTAGCTAACAAAAAATGTTCTGTGATTCTGTTTTTTATTGGAAAACAATAAAATATAATATTAATGAAAAAAACAATAAATTTAATTAATTTAATTGTAACGTACTGAATCGAAGATTGATCAAAAAAATGTTTACTAACAAATTAAAAGAAGTTATTGCCGGCCGTCACCCACGTACCAACAAAACAATTTTTAGGGAAGGAGTATTCGAAAACTGGTGAGCCACTGAAAAAGAAAATGGTTTGGGAATTACCCAGGCTTTTTTAAAGATAGGCACGCAGATTAAAAGTGGAATTTGGTATAGACAAACTAAATCAGTGAAAATAATCAAAGCTAAATTAACGTCATAGTCCTTAACAAATGTGTAATAACATGAATGACGGCTGATGAAACCACTATTTTTTAAAAAATATCTTTATAGGCAACGTTAAAAAGTGTGCGGCTCTGGATGTAGTGATCATACACCTATATATGCTTAAAATAAACCAATAAATGTTGATGTCATACAGTTATACCCTGCTGTCCTGCATTTAAAATGAACAAGTTGTTGACCTGAAATTTCAAACTAGAACTGCCCGATCGAATCTCTCCCATTATACGCTGTACTGGAAGCAAGAGAATCAATGACTTCACGCATCCTTTATAAATGATGCAGGGAAATTCCAGTGCGTGATCGTTAGCAAAATACTGTGTTGTGTGACGTTTGCTTCCAGGTTAACGTTCAGACCAGCTTCATTTCACTTCCTATATGTCATTCAATGGCTAACCCTTATTTGATAAAGGTAATTACGATGTGTAACCTAGAGATACCGTTCCACCCACCGCGTTTAGATAATGCGAATACGTGTTGATGACGTCATCACAATAGACAAATTATGGCCAGAAAATGTGCTGGGTAGAGAATTATCCTTCAAGAGAAACAACAATTTTTAATAAAATACAAATGGCAACCAACAGTGGTAAAGTGGGCAGCTCCAACTTCCTTAACAGAAGAAGATAACTTTTTTAAATTTGTGAACTAGATCATTAATGAATTATCGTTAAAACGTTTTGATATTTCATATTTTTTTGTATGTTGCATTCATGGATATATATTATATATATATATATATATATTACATATATTATATATCACTTACGAACGTAGAATAGTGATGAAAGGTTAAAAGGTTATAAGTCTATTACACTTTTCCATTGTTCAGAGGAATCAACAACACACGAACAGCGCGTAAATGAATACATGCTAAACTGCGCTAATCACACGAAGCATGGGATAGGCGAGGAACTTTTTGTCATGTTCGAACCCGCCACTGCACACACTGCGAAACTGCACCAGGCGATCTTTACCACTAGGCCATCAAGTCGCACCATCACGTGATCACCGCACATCACGTGATTGTGCATACACACTTGTTTTGTTGACCACGTAATCAAGCTCTGTCAGATTGGATGGTCTTTGTATTAGATAAAAGAATAATTAGTGTTTGTCTATTTAAGGATTTTTAGAACTACGTTGAATTTTAAGGGAAGAGTGGTAGCTTTAATGGTGAAAGTTGAAAGTTGAAGGTCCAAAGACGTATCCTATAGTATAGAAATAATTGATCAGGTGGACGATAGTTGAGAACAGAAAAAAGTATAACGAATCCTATTCGGTAATACATCTGTAACAATATTGTAGATGTTGTCAGTTTTGGGGAGAGAAGCTAAATTATTTGTAAGAAAAAATTATCCAGCAGAGTATCGAAAGCTTTAAGAAAGTCCAGAGAATAAGATGATTATTTTGAGAAAGAGAAATGATGCCGGATGCGTAGGCTGTTTTTTTTAGATTTATCTGCAATTAAATTAATTTCTACAGCGTGATGGTTTATATATTATAGAACTAACTTTTCGCACTGGCAGAATACGTTATAAATGCTACTGCTAAACTGTTGGCTGATGTTTTGAAATTCAATCTAATTCACTTGTATTTACACATCACATTGACAACTTTAATACTAATTAATTTGGAATAAAGTTTTAAATGACGATTTAGCTCCATATACTTAGGTCAGTCGCTAGAAAGTCGCTGATTCGCTAAGATGTAAAATATTTAATAAAATGTACATAAAATATAAGTAGAAAATCTGATTTTATCTGAATAAAATATATAGAATATATTTTATGTATAATATTCTGGACTACATATATAGAATAAATTAAATAAATTAAATTAAATCTTAATATAAATGAATATAGTATGTATTAAAATTAAACTAGTAGCTTGGAGTAACGTAGATTAATAATCCGTCAAAATGTAAATTGTTAAAATCATCTTCATAGCCAACTTCACGTTCGCCAAAGTATTTAAAATTAAATTACTAAAATATATCATGTCGAGGCTTGGTTTGGCGATTTGCATTTATTTGATCGTGCAAGTTAATTTATTAATTAGTTAATTAATTAGTTAATTTAATGGTGGTTGCCGTCGAAAGATTTTAAGCAGGTAATTAAAAAATTATGATTTGCTTTCGATAATTCGTTTTTTATTAAATTTAAATTTAATAAATTTTTAATTTATAATAATTTTATAATATATAATTTATAATTAATATATAATTTTTATATTAATTTATCTTAAAAATATTTCGTTTTTTTTTCTGTTCAAATTATTTTTTTAACTTTTGATTTTTAGGTTTTATCCTTTGAATTAATTATTAAATATAAGTAATTCTGTAGTAATGTAATCTCTAATTTGTCTTAAAATTGCATTTTAAAATTAAAATATACCTATAGTATATTATTATATTATATAAGATTATTCTTTTTATAGTATAAAGTTTTTTATATTATAATTATACTATTGTATTATAAAATTATACTAGTAATTGTAATGTAATCGTAATGTGATTAAAAAAATATTAATAAAACTTAATTACACATTAAATCTGAATGACTTAATTAATAATTGTCTCAATTTCACTTAGTTGCTAAATTAAGTTATTAAACTTAATTTTTTTTTTTAAATTATTTATTAAATAAGTAAATAAAAAAAAATAAATTTTATGAAAAAAAAAAAGAAAAAGTAGGAATAATATATAAATACAGTAATCAACGATTTAATTGTAATTAGATTTTTGCAGAATTAAAAATTATTATTTTTATGGACTGTGGCCAGCTCTGAACCGTGGTGCACAGTTGAGTCAGTACCATTAGTGATAAAATTATTATTTTTGGTTTGATTATTACAATCTATAATCATTATTTTATTTGTTTAATTACTTTTTTATTGTAAAATGCACTGTTATTGTGCTGAATTGATGTAATAATTCAGCATACACGCACGCTAACATGTGTCATTTTTTTATTTTACTTAAGTTAACTAGTTAAGTAAGTGAAAAATGAAGATGTTTAGCAATGTCGAGCAATAGTGGCGACTGGTACAACCCAGCGGTGACTTTAGCAGTGTTTGTATGTAGGCTATTATATGTCTTTGGTGATGATGATCGTGAGGCACTAGAAGTATCGATTTACTCCACATCTCCCGATACATATTGCAACTGTTCCATGTCTTTGTGGACTTGGAAAAGGCTTTTGACAGAGTGCATCATGAGGCAATCAGGTGGAGTTAACATATGGAATGTGATATATGCAGATGATAGGCAGACCATATAGGAGGACTTGAAGGCACTTGGTCTCAAGGAGACAGACGCAATGGATAGATAGGCTTGGAGGCAGAAGCTGATGAATGGAATAAAAAAGTTTGACCCATAACAGATGGAGACTAGAAAAGAGGATTGATATATATATATATATATATATATATATATATATAACAACAACAACAACACACGTTTAGACGACATTTTCCCTGAGATCGGGGGTTGCCGTTTGGCTACCTATGATGAAACCAAAATACCCCTCGATGCCATTCAGATACTGAGGGCCATTGTCACTTCTCTCATCATAAGTAATATATATATATATATATTTATTTATTTATTTTTTTTTTTTTTTGAAAAATTTGCAATAATATCTTCTTTATTTTAACTTTGATATTTGTGCCCCACAACAGTATAAACAAAAAAATATATGTATATATATATATATACATTATATTTAATATATATATATATATATATATATATATATATACATATATTATATGTACAATATATTTGATATATTATTTGACTTATGTTAGTTTCAATATAATATACTATACTATACTAATAAACTTACTTTACTATAATATACTAATAAACTTACTTTAGTTATTTTCAATATTTTGATGCAAGATTTAGTTATCTCTCAAAAGAATAAATAAGTATGTATTAAAAAGAGGAAACTTGTGCTTTTATACATAATGAGTCATAACTTTGATGGGAGTTTTAAATGTAATACTAAAAACACTGTAGTGCTGGAAATACTCATCAAAGTTTGAGTAACATTATGTAGTATTTATTTACATTGTAGTATTATTTGCTGGATTGCTTTGGACTAATTTTGATTAAATGAGAAACGTTTTTCACATTTATTTTTTGTTTTATTTGAGTGAATAACATTAAAAATTCCAATATAAACTTTTTGTATCTGTTATGGATCAATAATCAATATGATTAGAAAAAAGTTATTACAATTTTTAACAAGAAAATTGATGCAATTTATTAATTCTGCAATACATTATGATACTAATTCTCTGTTTAGTATGAATGGTGACAAGCACTTATTACAAAAATTGTCAAGCAAGCCATGGGAACTTGATGATTGTGTGCTGAATAATATTATACTTTTGTTTCACTGCTGTGCTATCAGGCTGTGAGAACAAGTTTACATACAATGCATATCTCCTTTCTTTCCTATCTTCTGCCTTATTATGTCTAAATATTTACATTGTTCCACCCATAATTAATTATAATTATATCCATAATTATACACATACATACACATTTATATATATATATATATATATATATATAGAGAGAGAGAGAGAGAGAGAGAGAGAAATATATGTGTTTCTATTATATTTTATTATATAAAAATATATTGTTTATTTATTATTTTTCTTCCTTTCTTATTCAGTTGTTTAAATTTTATATCTAGGTATGCTTCATAGGCAGTTATAGCATTAATGTGTAACATTGTTATGTCATGAATAAATATTAATATGAATAATATTCACTTACTTATTATGAATAATATTTGTTATTTTTATTGATGTTATAATGATTTTTTTAACAAATTGTAATAGAGAATGAGACAATGAATGGCATCAAGAAGCAACATGACCACCAACATCAGCAACGGTAAAAAATTGATTGTCCATTTGCTTGACTGCTCCCAGATCGAGGTCCCAATCAATGTTAGTCCACTTTTAAATAAATTTATATATATATATATATGTGTATATACGTGTGTGTGTGTGTGTGTGCGTTTGTGTGCGTCCGTATTTGTGTGTGTGTGTTATGAAATGAAATGAAATGATATCTTATTTGCTCCTCCATTAAAAACAAAATCAATGAAAGAATACAATTTGTTGCTAATTAGTCTCACTGTTGACTGTCTCAGTTGTGTTTTTTTCTTTACCTCCATTCTTTCCATCTGTTTACTTGTTCTTCATATTTTTTTTTTGTTTAAATGAAATAAATTCTTTTTTGTTTCGCATGAATCATTTGAAGCAGCAATGCATTTTTCAGATTAACAACAAAACTTAATTTTTGAATTCATTTATACGATGGTGGAAATTCTTGTCTGTGTTATAAATATATGCTGAAGCTGTTATGATTGCATCAGAAGCGATATGATGCTTTTATTATTTTAGCAGCATCACCATTTTATCATCATCTCATTTTTTTGAATGATCTAATATTGAGTTATTATACAAAATTTATAAAAAAGTTATGTACCTGGATATTATCAAGTGGAGTTCAGGTGCTGTTGTTCCAGGTTGGATAATGATGCAGATCATATCATATATAAAAGTTGACAAATGGAAATGTTGTGCCACATAGGAAAATCATGTAGGGGAGGTTTTGTGTTCATGTAGCAAACAGGAAGCGTATCGTGCAAATAATGTGATGGAGTTTACTGAGATTGGAATCATAGTCTTGTGGTACTTCAGAATCTTTTATGGTTATTCCAGTCTGAATTCTTATCTACTCCACAAATGTTCTCTCTTCACAGTCACCATATTTGACGGCTTTTAGTTTTTAATGCCAAACAGTAAGCATTCCAGTGGCTCGTCAGTCAGCAGATAGCATGTTCCATTTAAGTTAGGGAAGTTTTTGAAAAAATGGATTCAGATTAATGTTCAGTTTTCAAGTTGCTATATTAGCCAAGGGACTTTAAGCAGTAATGAAGATGATTATGGTAATGGTTTTTCGTTTTGATTTAACTGTAGACTTAACTATGGGTGCAAATTGAAATGATTGAATTACATTAATTTCTTTTCATGGATAGAACAAGCTTTCAGTTGATGATGTACTTCAGTGCGTGGCCTCCAATCTTTCTCTCACAGATACTAAATATTTTGGTTTATGTTATCACAACGAAGATAGCAACAATAACAACAACAACTACTACAACAACAACTACAACGGTAACTCATGTTTGAATCAGATCGTCAATAGGTTGGTTTATTGATTTTTCATAATGAACGATGCTGATGCAATTAAGAGTAAACTCATTTCTTCAACTGCCTGCTCTAAATCTTGTCTCTGTTATATTTTTTGTTCATTGCATGCTTTGAATCTCTGGATATATTCATAATGTCGATTAATGTTCAAATCTCTGATATTTCTATTTTGATACTTATTATGAAATTATTTGTTAGGCTTTGTTTTTGGTACTTGGGAAGTTTTATTTTATAATTTTAATGAAGAATATCCAATTCACTACACCATACACGACATGTTATTTAATAATTTCATCATTTGCACACATTATTAAATTCTATTTATTATTAAGTTACAAGTCAAACACATGCAGCATGCACATTGCACACGCACACGTAAGCCACATGTGCAAACAGCTGTTTGTTCACGCATGCACACATATTTAGGTTA